AAATATGTCAGTTTAGTCTTAAAAAGTGAACATAAATCTTGAAAGAAAACAAACATTTGGAGAGCTTGGGAATCTTGTTACATTATCTTTTACTTCCTCTAGATATATATACCAATTCACAGAAAACTTATCAATAGCACAGTCAAGTAATACCAAAACTATCTTTCCTCTACTCATTATTTTGCCCTGCTGCTGCATTGAAAACATAGCCTTGGAAATTCTTTCTCCCTCTTTTTTTGGTCCTAAATCTGTTGCATCAGATTTTCCAAGTTGTATTTTCCTTCTTGGAAGTGATTCTCATAATATTTGATGTTGACATATTTTTATTGAATTGACCTTTTACAGTATTTTCAAGTACATGAGCAGTTAGTTATTTGGGGAAAATCTTTTGTTTTGAGCTTCAATTATAATGTTCCCTCTGTAAGAACATACTTTTAAAGTTACTATTGCTCTCCTTAGAAAGTCCAGGGATAGTTTACAAAAATAGCTCTTGGAAACTCCAAGTCACTGTAAATCTTTAACACATTTACATTTTTAATAGAGCATTCATGTACAGTAAACTGGTTCCATCTGGTTGTAAATTTATTCATTCTTATTTTTCCTTTATTTAATCTAGATTTCTTTATAATATAAGCCTACATAGAATCTGCTACTTTATATGTTATATATAAAGAATTAACAACTCAGAGCTCCTAGAAAACAAAGCCTAAAAAATCTTTGATACATAAATTTTAACACTGAAGAAACAAAGGTAATTTAAACATAGCTGAAAGGTGAAATGCTCTTGCGGTCCAGCAGATAATATTAAATTATATGAAGCTGCTAAGCAAAGGTAATATAGAGGGTGCTTTCTAGCCTAAATGCATTCAAATTCAAATTTATTTTTTCTAAATGGAAATAAAGTTGCTTTGATCAAATAAAACAGATTTTTTCAGGCTTTGACCTGTATGCTTTAGTGTTACTAAGTACACAATAGTGGCATTTTGGTAACATTCAAAGATGTTTTCACTTTTATATATAGATGCTGTGTATTTAAGATTATTAATGAGCAACACTTCCATAAAGACAATTTAAATCCAGGACTTCACACTCACATTGTTATGTTTACACAGCACTTACATTGCTTATTGGGAATGATTTGGGATAATCATTAATTTGACTTCAAAATTCATGTTAAGTTAGCAAATAGGAGAAATATATCAACTTCTTTTCAACTTTTCTTTTGGGGAAGAATGAAATGATTTGAGTTGCAAGAATTAAACATAATAATAGAGACTGTTTTCAGTACCTTTGAAAATGGGTACAGAATTTTTAAATAATGGTGTAGGTCAAAGCCATATGGGACAATAAAATCACATCCTATGCAAAACAAAAGAAAAAGAATTTCAATGAGATAAACTCTTAAATAAAGACAGGGTTCATTGTAGAAAGTCAGAATTTTTCAAGGCATATGAAACAAGAAATTTAATAAAATGTATACTTTTACATAAACACACAATAACGGTTTACTGCATGTACAATTTTGTTAGCTTCGGAGAAGATATCCCAATACTCAGTATTTATCTTTTACATTTTTTTTTTCTTTTAAAAGTTTCTAATGAGATACTAAATTTTCACCTAAGACTTAGGGCTTTTAAATCTTAACTGGGTAAAAAAAATCATTGTTCTGATTAAATGAGTTTAAATGGCAGTATGGTGAGTGATTTTAAATATTCTCTGACATACATGAGGAATTTCTGAATCAAAATGTTCACATTTGGAGCCACTTATGTAAATATACTATTCACTAGCTGTAAAAATTTGGGGATAATTATAAAATTCGGGATACAGTTTGAATGAAACCAAATTTAATTTATAATTTAACAAGTGTTAGCTCATAAATGTGTGGCTCAGACAGTAGAGTCTGCCTGCAATACAGGAGACCTGAGTTCAATCCCCTGGTTGGGAAGATCCCCTGGAGAAGAGAATGGCAACCCACTCCATCATTCTTCTTGGAGAATTCATGGACAGAGGTGCCTGGCAGGCTATAGTCCATGGGGTTGCAAACAGTCTGATACCACTATGCAACACACTTTCACTTTCATTTTCACTTTCAAATGTTAATCAAAAAGCAAAGCATAAAAGACACACATTATATGCATTTACATATTTTTAGGGAACTTTAGAGAAGGCAGAGTTCAGTAACAAAGAAAAATACGCACTATAAACTTTATTTTTGGGATTGGAGATTTAAAGTCAGTATTAAAACTCAGGATTTAGATAAACTTGATAGTTGTAACTTTCCCATTATTAGGATTTTCAGAAGTGAAATATTCTTTTTGATTTTGGACTTAAACATAGCAAAAGTATTATAACGGTAAAAGACACGATTTTATATGGCTAATTTAAATAGATATATCATTACAGGCAAATATATTAATTGGCCAGGTATTCCTTTTTTATATATCAATTTTTACACTTACTATTTGAAATTTTAGTCTACAACAGCTTGATGAACCTCTCAAGGATAAAACATGCTGGTAAAGTCTCTACAATAGTACCTGACAAAGAATTTTTTTAATCAATTAACATGGGATCAAGAAAAATAAAGGTGAAAGTATCCATGATTGAAAAAAAAAAAAAAATGTGGGGTTACTGCCACCCTTCATGTTTTATTTCAATGGACATGTATTTAATTACAAACTGAACATATGGTTATTTTACTTGCAATATTCAATATTAAATTCTGTTTTTAATGAACTATACAATCAGATTCTTAAAAATGTGTTAGCTGGAAACATTAGAAATTATTACTGTTGGTAGAAATCAATTTGTAAGAAAATCTAAAATATGCATATTCCAGAATACTAAAATGTAACCAAAATCTACCACTAGCATGTATATGATTCAGTACTGAAATATCAAAAATTTGAATTGAATTTACACCATGACATATTGGAAATATGTCTTAAAATGTAATGATCTTCAAATAAGTTTGTTGAAATTCGACCACGATGCTGATGAGTTTTCCATTTGAAAAATGCCATAATTCCATTCCTGGGTATGTTAACCTAAAAAAATTCCCTCATAAAGATATTGTTTCATATTTTCCACTTTTAGAAACATGTAATTTTGAAGAATGAACATGTTTATTTTATGGCAGAAATATACAATTTCCTTCATGTTCACTGATAAGATACCTAATTTAAAAAAAGAAAAAAATCCCATTGCAAGACTTCCATTCAACATATCTTCATGGGTATTACTTTTCTTCTATAAATAGCTTTCTTTGTATCTAATAAAAATGAACCTGATTAGCTTAGCATTATGCAATATATCATTACATTTTTCTTTTGACAGTAGATAGAAAGTGAAAAAGTCAAATTATTTCATATTTTCATTACATTAGTTCTCTTTGAAATATTTATGTTTTGATCTTTGAAAGTTCTTTTTATAAGAAATAATCTAAATCACTCAAACTTAAGTTTAAATGTTGCTCTTAAAAAAAAGAAGATATTCATTTTGTGATACTGGCACAACGCTAGAAATGTCTGACCCCTGCCACAGAGGAAGAAAAAGTATATTATTATCACACTCAAATTATATTGCATTAATTCCCCCCCCCATCAAACATGCCTAAAGTGTAAAGCACAAAAGTATAATTTGAAATAATTAAAATATTGAAAGAAAATTGGGTATGGAATGCTCTTTGATAATACATTTTTTATCTGCTATATACATGCTACATATACTAACAGAAATACAGGTAATTACAGGTAGGCTTTAAATTGAATTAAAATCTGATAAAATGGTCAGTTGTCAAATGCAATATTGATTGACATAAAGTTCTTTGGATTTAGATGTTAGATGATTACTTTTAGGAACATGACTAAAGTTCATCCAACTATTTTAATTTTATCTTCATATATTTGTATTTGCAAAATAGTAGAGAACTTCAATGGGTATGAAGAGCATTATGCATAAATTAAACAGTTGATTTAATATCAGTTAAATTATTACTTTCATGTTTTATTTCCTTTGAAAATCAATACATTAAATGCTCCTACATTCCAGAGTTTAAATTGCCGCTTTTGTTGTTTTTAGTTCTTCTTTCTCAGTGTAAAATTTATTCTTAAATTGAGTTATAAGATATATTTTCCCACTTTTGCAAATATCTTAATTTGGGGCCATCTGAAAGTGCAACAGAAGTATTTTTCCAAATGAATTGGAAGCATATTTGTGTTCTGCTTTACTTTCATTAATTTGGAATTGCATGACTTTGGGAACAATCTGTCTTGAAATTAAGTAGCCAGTTTTTGTCATTTCAAACAAGGACTGAACTATTCTCATTGTTTCCCTTGCCTTATTGAAAAAGGAAGAAAAGAAAGTATAAGGAGAGAGGAGGGAGGGAAGGGTGAGACATAAGGAAAAAAACTGTAAGAGAGCCCAGAAATAAATATTATATATATACACACACACACATATATATATATATGTAATTTGAATACTTTGCTGAGTCATGAGAATAGGATTAAAGATACAGGGCAAGAAACTGACATCTTAGATTAAGTTCTTAAATTCTAAACTTTTTCCTAAATTCTGACCTTTTTCACATTTTGTGTGGGTTCTTCATTACATACTAGTTTGATTTTCCTATCAAGGCTGAGGGAACAGTGGGTGAGGGGCAGAGATGGATATCCAGGACATTTATCAAAAATTTCCACTCCACACACAGAGGTGATATTGTTGCCTAAACAAAAGACGTGTTCTGAGTATGATGCTAAAATTGTTATGAATTGTTTAATTCATAACTGCAATCATTAGTTTAGCTGCAAGGCAATTTGAATATCAGCATACAAATTATCTACATTTACATGAAATATATTTCTCTGAGATAATTTAAGTATCTACACTATAATCATATATATATAGATAAAAGTAAGATTTTGTAATCTCTACCTGGAGATATATTTGTATGAGATTATGCAACATATCAAATTGAACAAGCACAAAGAGTAAGCTCAGTTTGCATTCAAATTTTAATTGATGTCTGAAACATTACATACTGTTGTTCTCCAAAATTCTATAGAAAGAATTTCCTGGGTTCCTTAATCCAATCATATACCACTGATATACCCAATTTAATTATTTACTCAGTATACCTGAAAACCCAAAATTCAGATATTCAAAACCACACAAATTATGTTCTGTTGTATATGCCAGTGTTCTGGCAGGAAACCATATGGAAGGAGAAAAATAATTCATTTTTAAATTCTACACAGTTTCATGATTCTATATGTTAAAATTTCAAGTTTATTAGGGCAAGGATAAGTTTCCTTTTATCCTCTTCATACAGATGGGAAGAGTATAATTTAAAAATTAGAAATAACTTCTTTCTATAAATTATATAATTGTTATTTTTTGAGATTAAAAAATGCTGGATACCTTACGAAGAGTAGAGGTAGAAATAAACCACCTACAGCAACAAGATTATATGAAATAGTGCTGGTTTGAAAACAATAATATTACTTTGTAAATCTTTGCAAAATACATCAACAAACTTTCTGGAAGCTACTTCTATTGTCCAGACCTGCATTTTTTACTTCATGTAATTGTTGCCTCTTAGTTTTTATACATCAATTAAGAAATAAAACAAGTTACATGGAGGATTCCACTTTGTCTTAATATTTTATAATTTGTACAACACTGCCATATCTATATACGATAATATTGTGAAAGCAATTTTAAAGAAAAATAACTCCCACTGTGAAGACAAAATTAATAGCAACCCCAATTGTGAAGGCAAATACTATCATTTATATTTATCTTCTAATCCTGGATCTAACATGGAGGAGGTAGATGGAGCGTAAGAGATACATTGTTTCCATGATAATATCATGGTATTTATTACTTCCCCTCTGAAAAAAAAGTTTGGAAGGGAAAATGTTGCACAGAACTGGGATAGTTTACTTCTCTTGGCCAAGGTAGCATTATTATTTATTTTTTTTTAACTCCTTAGGGAAACTATTACCACCTGTTCAATCTGAATTCAAGCAGTTACTGTCAATTTACTCATGGGTGAATGCTGCCTCTTTGTGGCAGAATGCCACGGAAAATGTTCCTTAAACAAAGTTCATGAACAGCCCTTGACATCGTACACACTGCCGGTGAGATTATGCAGACATGTACCACACACCAATGAAGCATGTGGCTCTTTAAGGTTCAATTAATCCAAACATTTCCTACCCTTGAATATAATCTAATTCACTGGCAAACCTTACTCAGACATGACCAGCTTATACTCACCAACATTCTGACATTTAGGATATAGATCAACTGGAGATAAAAGTACCCATCACGGTTGTTGCAGGTAGCTTTACAGAAGGTAAACTATGCAAAATTGTAGACCAAATAAATAATACTGGTATTACAAAATATAAAATCAATATGCAGTACATTACTTACCATGCTCCACATGTTAGATGGATACTTCAGTAAGGAAAAAAGTATAAACAGTTGAAATTTCATGAATGAGCACATTCAATGACACATTTAGATAACCATACTTCCCTGAACCAACAAAGGTGCAATTATATATATTTGATCATTAGGGGGACATTTTAGGAGTAGAAGTTAGCTACTGTCTTAAATTAATAATGGCTATTCATTAAATCACACAGCTATTTCTTTGCACTTAAGTAATCATTACTTCAGTCCCTCATATTTGACATAGTTATCAAGTGTTTATTCAGAAACTATTTAAAAAATTACATGTGCTGGGATACATGAGACTGTAACAACAGTAGCCCCATCTTACAGAGATCCTGTTTGTGGTTATCATCATTGCTTGTTGCCCAGAGGGATAAAGACATTGTATAGAGATTTGTACAGTCCATCATTTGGTCTTCTGAGGTGCCAGGACACGTGGATCTGTACAAATGCAACTGGGTTTGGTTAAACAATCAAAAATTGGCTACAATAGTAGTCAAATCAATACATCATTTTGGTTGACTAATAAAAATACTTTTAAATCTTCTCTAATAAAACCAGAAACTTGCACATGATTCTCACTGGAATGGCCCAATTAATTGCCCTAAGTATTTTTCTTTTATACACTGGGATACAATCAGGTTTTTTTTTTTTTTAATTACAGATCCAATTGGGTGGGTTGCATTGACTTTTAAAATGTAAGTTCTCCATATTTTTAATAAGATTTTAAATGCCTTCCTGATATCACTTCAGTTTTGGAAATACAGCTCCTGATATAGTGCGACACCTCTGTGAAAATCATAGGCTAAATAGTGAAGGAAAGAGAAATGCTAAATGTGCATATAAAAATAGGTGCTACAATAAAATATTCGTATATTTCATCAATAAGTTATTTTGACTAATCAATTATGGATCATATAGCTCTGTAATTTTAATGATTTGTCCACATCTATGGTGATCTTTTCAAGATCACAATACTTTTGTTCTTTTAATTCAAATGTCCAGAATGCATACAAACACATCCTTTAAAAAGAAAGGAAAGGGATGAGAGGAGGGAGGCAGGGAGGCAGAGAAAGAGAGGAAGCAGAGAAGAAAGAGAGAGAGAATTGGGGACGGGGAACGAGAGAAAGAAAAAAAAAACCCAACAACAAACTTTCTGTTAAAGTTGGGGGTGTGCTAATCTCTCCACAAAAGCCGTCTAGACCCACCCATGGCTCAAAGGGGTAGAAGGGAAAGGGGAAAGGAATAAAAGAGAAGAGGAGAATCTATGCGCTGTCACCTTCCACCATTCTCAACACTTCCAACCACTACAAAAATGACTGCGACCTTTAACAAGTCACCCGCGAAGCAAACTGCCCTCCATAAAGCCCTTCTCCTCGCCTCCCCCCCACTGCAGAAGAGAAAGTGATGTGCCCAGTGTACACAAACGTTTTCCCGCGTGTGATATTAAAAGGAAAGTGCACACCCTTTCAGTATCTTCCGCCGAAGCTGAGAATCTCGTGCCAAGGCACTTCACCCTAAACGCTGAAACAACACAATGAATCAAATGGGGTTCGCGTGTGTATCTGCTCGCTTGTTTGTCTGAAACGCAAGCGCTCCAAGGGAGTTTCTTTGCCTTTTAGAACTGGCTAAAGGTGGTCTGTTTTTCCAGCACTTCGAGGTAGTCCGGCTCAACGTTTAGTTTAGCTTTTAGCTCCAGATACTCGTTCCGGTTGGGTTCTACAAAGACAGCACTGGGGGGGCTGTACAGCACCGGTTCCCTCAGCCTGCTGTCCCCCGCCCCCGGGTGCAAATACTGATGGGGGCGTCTCAGGTCATAGTTGGGGGAGAAGGTGTAAGCAGCGGGGCTGCACGGGAATTTGGGGTATTCCGGGAGGCTGTTGCCTGCGCGGGTGGTGGCGCAGTGTTTGTCTGGTTCTAAAATGCCCCTGTAAAAGCGATCGGCGTCCTGCACCGGCGAGAGCAGGTCCTCCCGGGGCTCGATGGTGCTGACGCTGTAGGCGGGGCTCCGCAAGTGGTGGCTTTCCCGCCTCTCGTCCTCCCCCGCCGGCTGCAGCTGCACCGGGGGCGGGGGCTGCGGCTGCGGCGGCGGCGGCGGCTGCTGCAGGTGGTGGTTGCTGCTGCTGTAGGTGACCTTGAGCTCGTGCAGGTCTTTGTAATCCTCCACGGAGTTGCCCTCCCGCGAGCGGTAGATGGGGTTTTTGCACATGTGGCCCAGGGGGTGGGGGATGTACTCGTACACGTGGCCCGCGGGCGTCTTCACCTTGGGCAGCGCCGGCGCGCGGTGCTGCGCGTGCGCGTGCGGGTGGCCCCCCTGGACTCCGCGCCGCCGCTGCTGCCGCCGCCGCCGCCGCCGCCGCCGTACACGCTGTACTGCATGTTGAAGGAGCTCACGTCGGAGTTGTGGGTGCTGGCGTGGTCGCTCTGGTGCTTCTTCCGGCGCTTCACGACGAGCACGAATAGCCCGGCAGCCACGAAGACCGACATGATGAAAACCAGCAGCAGGCTGAGGATCAGCACCGACAGGGGCACCGACGACGCGGCGCCTCCGCCCGCGCCCAAGCCCGCGGGCGCCCCGGTGCTGTTCAGCCGCACGGCGGGGGTCACCGCGCTGGTCCTCGCGGGGACCTGGATGGACGAGGGCGCGGGCGTGGACACCACCACGTCCGAGTAGTCAGGGCACAGCAGCTCCGACTTAATGGAGCGCATATCCGTCTCGGCGAACTTCTTGGGCGCCTTGCAGATGACCTCGTCCACCAGCACGCCCGCTTTGAGCTGCTCCACCCACAGCTTCATGCCCACCACGTCGCAGGTACAATCCCAAGGGTTGTCGTGCAGGTCGATTTGGATGAGTGACGTCAGCTGGTCCAGGACTCCGCTCACCGGCAAGGAGGTGAAGTGGTTACTCCTGAGGTTGAGCCTCAGGAGAGTCAGGCCTGAGAAGACGCCTGAGGGCAAGGTCTGCAGGAGGTTGTTGTTCAGGAATAGCAGCTGGAGGTTTGGGACCGGGTCGAAAGTCCCAGGTTGAATCTCGCGGATGAGGTTGTATTGGAGGAAGAGATACTGCAGGCTCTGCAGGCCGTAGAACAGCTCCGGGCTCAGCCTCTCGATCCTGTTGCCATTTAGGTAGAGGCGCCTCAGGTTGGTGAGGTCCCCGAAGGCGCGGTCCTGGATCGTGGAGATGCGGTTGTTGCCCAGGTGGAGGAGGTCCAGCCCCGTGGCCTCCAGGAAGTCACTCCTGCGCACCAGGGCGATGTAGTTCTCCGTCAGATACATTTTCTTGGGGTTGTAGGGCTTGGGCTGCAGCTCTGCGATGCTCTCGATCTTGCGCTCCTGGCAGTTGACGTTGAGGCCCAGATCGGAGATTTGCAGGTTGCAAGTGCACGCGGTGGGACACTCCAAAGGCACCGGAGATTTGGTCTGGTAGGCGATGCTGGGGCCATAGTTGCCATAGCCCAGGTCCTTGGAGGGCTGCCGAGAGGTGGGGCGCACCCTGGGCTTATTGGGTTGGCGAGTCCCCTTAGGGGGCTTCAAGGGGGGTTTGTAAACAGCAGAGGAAGAAGTGGCCACGGAATTCACCGAGGCCGGGGTGGTATGTAAGTACCCCGTGGTGCTCAGAGGCGTCTGCGGCCTCATCTCGTAGTCCGAAATAAGTTTCCTTGGGCAGAGTTCCTGCTTGGACACTTCGTCCAAGTCCCGGCCGTGTAAGCGGAAGGGGGTCTCACAAACCACATCCCCCACCAGGGCGGAGTAGGAGATGCTGTCTAACCAATCCTTCAGGGAGATCAGCTCACAGGAGCAATTCCAGGGGTTTTCCTCCAGTTGTAACTCCACGACTTTATCCATATGCTGCAAGAGCCCCACATAGGGCAGAAGTTTCAGCCGGTTCCCCCGCAGGTCCAAGTGCGTTAACGGCACAAAACGGAAAAGGTTGTTGGGTAAACTGGACAAGAGATTGTCATTGAGGATAAGCACCTGCAACAAATGCAGTTTCCCAAAAGCGTTGGGTTCAATGACACTGATGTAATTGTAATCGACCTGTAGGTACTCCAGGCTCTCCAAGCCAAGGAAGGTATCATCACGCAGAAGTTCCAGTTTATTATTGTTCAGATGCAATCTCCTTAAACCCCGCAGCCCGTGGAAAGCCCCGGTCTCAATGTCCTGGATTACATTGCTCCCCAGATGCAAAATCGAAGCCCCAGTGTAATTGACAAACTCATTGGGATAAAGACGACTCAAAAGGTTTCCAGACAACAGGAGGTGGTAGATTGGGAAACGGGGAGGGCTAATTTCTGAAAGGCTGATGATCCCCCGATTTTCACAGCTCACAGTTAAAATGCCGTCCTTTTCCTCACAAGGACATGCATTGTCACAGATTTCCCCATAATAATCGATGGTTTCTGCACACGAAAGGACGAGAGATGTTAGAGCAAACGCTAGAGTCTGCAGCATCCAGCTCTGCATTTTTCTGTGAAGATCCTGTTCCAAAGTTACTGGGGGGCAGCACGTGTGCATTTTATCTCCTGCAAGGGAGGGGGGGGGAAAGGAAACAACAGAATATGACAAAAACTTAAGGGATCAATCAGAAAGTCTCCTTCCTTCCTATACTGTTTTTCTGACATCCAGAAGAAGGGGAGAGTAATGACACCCCACACCCCGAGGTACTTGGACATTCTCCAGACTTTATTAAAATCTGATATTCACTTTGATTTAAAGGTTGATTTCATTCCCTAATGACAACAGGAACATGCTGCTCCTTACAAGATAAGGGCAAGTTAGACAAAGTCCCATTTTAGTGATCTTGCGTGTCCCCCCCCCCCTTTCAAAACCAATCCATAAATATACATAAAATGGCTGTCAGTTCAGATTCACGGTTTAAATTTTAGAGAAAAGAAGCACCATATTTATTAGGTTTCCCACCTCACCTATACCCAGTCCCTCTGCTTTTCTTTCAAAACCTCTTCAGTTAACAGTTCACCGTGAAGGTCTCCCATTTTCACGGAAAAGCCCAGGAGCCACAATACTTGGGCTGTTTTAAAACCATCGCTGGAAATGCCAGGGTGGGAACCTAAAGAATACTTTTTCACAGAGGCAAAAAGCATGCAAGATAAGGCGTCAAAAGGACCCAGAAGAAGCTCTTAAGGCCAATTGTCTTCGGGAGCTTTGAGCATGGAGAAAAAGGAGAGCGCTTTCGCTTTGATGGTGGACTTCACTATCACGCTATTAAGCACATCAGCGTCCTAATTGCATGCACGGTGCCATTTAGCAGCGCCTCCCCAGAGCGCCCTGCGTCCACTTCATTGATCATGTCAGCGACGCTACTAAACCGCATTTTTAAGCCACTGAAATAGTTCTGCACGGTGGATTACAAAGAACTCTGCGAAGGCATCCGCAATCCCGGAACAAGCTCCGGGTACCTGGAGTTTAAAGAAGACGTTCCCACCGCTTACCCGGAATCTGCTAAAAGTAAACCCAGGACCAGCGCCAAAGCCTCCCTCACCTCGGGCTCCGCGTCTCTTTGCCAGGGTATGCAAAACTAACCCTACCAAATTAGCAAGATTGGGACTTAACTACCACCTCGCCACATCCCCACCACTGGAGTTGCTTATTGTATTTAATTATCAAGGCTTTACTCTTCCCCCCACCCCCCAACCTTCTTTTCTCAGAAAGGGGACTTGGGCTGATTAAGAGGCAAAATAGAAGGGAGCAAGGAAGGGGGGACAGCCAGTGATACAAGTCAGTGCTTTAATATCGGAATTTCATCTCCCCAAGGAATCAATCTGACCCTCCTCTCCCTTTTCTTTCTGGCTTTCTTTTTGTCCCTTTAAAGCCTTCCTTCGACTTCCTACTTCGATTCGACAGCAGCGCTCAGAAGGAAAGGACAGAAATGGAGCGAGTGTATGTGAGTGTGTGTTGCGTTGGTTGGGGGAAGAAGGGGGAGAGGGAACATTCGGTAGAAATGCTGGGCTCTTGGAACCAATGCCTTTTTTTTCTGTCCAGCCTTGCTTGGCTCTGCCTCACCACCCCCGAAGTCTGATATCGAATCGCAACCCCTAACTAAAGCCAAGACGGTTCTGAAACACGGGTTCAAGCCTGGAGACCACGATCTGGATCCCCGAGTCGACTCCAGCCCGCGTTATGAAGAGCCCCTGCATTCGCACGCACGTGTGCAAGTGTGCCTGCGAATCATTCACGTGTGGTCACCCAGACGTGTCGAGACGAATGGGAACCCACAGTGTCTAAACCTTGCAAGTATCCCCGACCTCCCAACACAGCGACAAAGCACCTCCTGGCTTAAGAGCGGCACAGACACCCTCTATGAAAGCAAAACGTTTACCTTGAAATCGCCGTTCTCCGCTGGATCAAATCGGCACAGCCATTCAGTGGGGGCTGGGTCCCCTCCCCCTCCTGCCCGGCGCTTCCCCGCCCCCATTCACCTCCCACCCGCTCTGACAGCCCATCGCCAAACGTGTCCAGCCGATATTAAACTTGAGCGTTTACAACTTTAATTCAGTTCTGGCTCGCCAGGGTCGAAGAGCTTCCCTCTCACCCCACTCCCGATTCCCTCCTCTCTGCTATCAAAGGAGCCCGAAAATTTGAGCAAATAAAGTTGAATGAGCCGGGCAAGGCTGACATTTCTGACTGGGAAACGCACCTCCGATGTAAATTCGCGGGGACGCTGCACATTCTGAGTCTCAGATTTTTTCTTTTTTGGAGGGCGGGGGCGGGGAAGCTGTATCTGTTTCCCCCCTCCTGCCCACAAATTAAACCCTGGATCGTCGTCCTAGGCATCCCCGCATGAAGCCTCGTGGGAACGGGTGGGCTGAAGCCCGGCACCCAGGCCGGACCCTCGGCTCCAGGGCGCAGCTGCTCCCGCGGCGGCCCCCAGGCAGGAGCCCCCGGAGTTCCAGAACGCGAGGCTCCCCCTCCCCCACCCCGCCCCAAAGCGAAGGCCGGGAAAGGGGAGGAAGGAGGGGCGGGAGGAGAGGGGAAGACAGCCACCCGGCCGCCACACAGAGACACACACACACACACACACACACACGCTGGAGCCTCTTTGGCAAAGTAAACGGCCGACTTACCCCGTCTCACATCTCCAAGGCCCACTCATCATAGCCACCCTTGCAAAACAAACAAATAAAAAACAAATCCAAAAACCTCTTTGGGGTGTGCACTAGGGTTTGCGAGTCCAGGCGGGGCGAGCACCGCGATCCGGGCGGCTGCGAGGACAGAGGCGCCCGGACGCCGCCAGCCCCGGGCCGCCGCCGCGGTGGCGACCGCGGGTTCTGGGGCTCCCCGTAGGGGCCGGGAGCCGGGCGGGGCGGGGAGAGAGCTGCTGGAGGAGGGGAGGAGGCGCGGAGCCCGAGGAGGGGGACGCCGAGCAGGCTTGCCTGGCCCCGGGCGGCCCAGCCAACGTGACGGTCAGCCTCGCCGAGCGCTCGCATCCGCTCACACTCAGGCTCACTCGCACACTCGCTCCCAAGACCGCGCCACCGCGCGATCGCGGGGTCCCCGCCATCGTCCGCCGCACCCCCCAGGCCCCCAGGCGGGTACTTACAGTTGCCATCTGCCTAGGGGCCAACTTTCTCCCAGCCAGCAGCGGCCGCCGCCCCCTCCAGCCGCCTCTGGCTCCTGGCACCCGCCGGCCTGGGTTCGCGCGGGCCGGCCCTCCCCTCCCCCCTGGGCTGTCCTCGCCGTCTTCACCACATTCCCCCCTGGTCAGTGGCGCACGCCCGGGGACGAGCCAGAGGGAGCGGGGCGCAGGGGTGTACATGCATCGCCCGCCTTCTTCTTGCAGCGCACACTGTACATGGTAGAGAGGGGGCGAGCGAAGGTGGCACCGGCCCCTCGGCTGCTCCCGCAGCGGCTGCGGCTCCAGCGTCGTCCTCCGCCCCCTCTGTGCCGCGGCGACCACCGCACTGGGATCCCGCCGCCGGTGTCCCCGCGCCGAGCCCGCCGCCGCCGCCGCCGCCGCGGCGGCCCCTGATCAGTGGGTGGAAGGCTCCCGCATCCTCTTGGCCATTTCGTCGCTCCGGGTGTTTGCAGGGGCTTTTCCTCTATTCCTTCTTCGGATGCGGCGCACGATCTTCATTATTTGGGATTCTCTATTGCCGACATCCTTGAGGGGCCGGGAGGGCAGGAACAGCGTTGTTCTAAGCCTGTGGCGTGTCCCGGCCGCCCGGCGGCTCTTAAAACCCCCCCCAAAACTCAGAGAAAAGTCGCTCTTCCCTCCCGGGCGGCGAGGAGGTGGCCACGCGGTAAGCTTCGCGGGGGTCTCTGAGACAGCCGCTCCGGCGCGGGCGCAGGGCCCCGTCCGGTGCACTTGTTTATTGTCGCGCGGCTGCTGCGAGCCAAGCTGCAGCAGACATGATGGGCCCGGGGCGAAGCGGGCGCTCCGCGGCCGGTAGATGGCAGCCGAGGGCGAAGGCGTCCCCGGGCTCCGGCGGCGCTGCCGGAGCCTCCCCACTACCCGTACACAGCCCCTGCTGCTGTCTCTTGTCCTGTAAAGGACCCTGGAAGAGGGAGTGGTCCATCCTAGCTGCCAACAAGGGCATTTTTTTTTTTTTTTTAAAGAATTAACGTTTGATAAGTATGCCTAGGCGATACAAGGGATGTGAACGACTTTCAGAGAGATTGTGAATATTATTTGGTGTATACTAAAAAGCTGGAAATCCCTAAATATATGCAGTAAGGATAGAAAGCAAGTTTCTTGAAGAGTCACCTGCTAAACTCTACTAGCGTCTTCTCTACAGTAAGTATTCCTGGCTCTTTTCATGAAACCAGAGAGCTCCCTCCCCAAAAGGGAGTCTTTACCTTCATAAAGCACATTTCCACAGTTTGTAATACTAGAGCTGGTAGTCCATCTGAGGCATAAAAGAAAAGTTGATCGTTCTAAGTGGATCAATGTAGGCTTAGTTACACATGTGTCTGTTCTTTTGACAACTGGGTAGTTTTATCACTTAAATGTATTTTACCCATTTATTTTTGGAATTAATTATGTAGTATCTTTTGTAGTTGTCTTAAACATAACTGATATCATGTCCTTTTTGGTAATATTTGGGGTAACATTGTGGTTATAGTACCCTGATTACATATAAAATTAATTCTGAAAAAAATGTATATACATATTGCCACTATCATGCCTTTCTACATCGTCTCTGTTGAATTAGAAAGAGTTTTCTAGAGGTGGTGAGTATGATAGTCTTCTGAGGTTTTGCAATAATTCTTGAAATTTCTTCTGAGTCTATTTTGCAATTTATTCTTTTTTTTTTTTTTTTTTACTAAAACCATTTATACTTGGTTTGGAAAGATTTTGTTAGTTTTGCTTAAATTTGGGGTAGTTACCAGGGAGGGAGAAAAAAAGAAATCTATAAAGAAATCTATAGTATCAGATAATTAAAAGTAAAGTATTATAATAAGAGAACTTCCTAGTAAATTTACAACCATTTGGCCTAGGAATGATAGTCCTAATGTTACAGGTACATTATATAAACAGGCAACTTAAACTTCACCCAAAACAGGCTTGTTGCTGTATTGTTTATTTAGTCATTATCCTCTAACATGATATAAACACTGTAGAAATTTTTTAAAGTATAAAATTGCTTTTATATTTGCAAAATGAAAGTATTTAAGTGGCATAATTTTCAAATTACATGTTAATTACAGTTACAAACTTTTGAAATATGTTAAGCTCTATCACAGACATATTTTTCAATGTTGATAATCTCTATAGAAGTACTCAATGGGTATGAAGTGACTTATATAATTATTAGACTTCTCAAAGTAACCGAAGCATAGTTATTTTAGTCCCTTCTATTCCTTTCCTAAATCTTCGCAATTGCATTTGATATCAAATTTTAGTTTAATTGTTGGTTTTGTGTTATTTTTACTTTGTTATCCTAATTAAAATAAAGCTTGTTAAGCAGCATTAACATGTTTGCAATTAATTTAGGTTATAATTTTGTTAGAAACACTGACACTAAAAGTATTCTAGTTTACCTCTTGTGGTTAGATAAGTTAATGACAACTTTCTATCATTAACTCAGTATGGAAGATGGCCTGAGAAGCCACCATGAGTTTACCACTAGGTGTCTCTGTAAGCTTCCCTGCGGGAAAGTGAATTTTGAGAAAATACTGTGACATGAAGAGACAAGAACAGAAAAATGGAGAAAGAAAACATCATAAAAACAAGAAAAGGCCTCGTTTTTTAGTGTGTAGACTTTTGTTTGCTTTGACTGTTGACTACTGCCTAGAAAAAATATAAATGAATCGTGTAGCTGATCTAATTTGAGCAAGATTTTTATCTAGGGGAGCAAACATGTTTTAGTCTGTATTCAGCAATATATAGTCATGTGATATGTATACATGCTACAACTCAACACTCAAATGTACGCATATGATTACATAAACACACGTAGGAGCTAGAAAATTAAATGACTGATCAAATACATCTCTCCAGATTTTAGGTCATTGATACCAAATTGGACATTTTTTGATTGAGATGAATGTGAAAAGCTGAGAATCTTTGTCCAGCTGTTTATGAATATATTTATGCATATTATAATTAGCTCATGATCTCATGTCATTATGAATACATTTCCTATGTGGTAATAGATTTGTCAATAATTAGTGTAAATTATGGACCTAATTTAATACCTGCATATTAAAATTTAAGTTCAAACTACAATTAGCATATTTGTCACTTAAAATTGACCATGTAGTTTTGTGAATTCATATTTATTATTACCTGGAATTATTGTTTTAGTGCCTTATGAACGAGGGAAAATTTCTTATACTGAAAGCATTTCTTAAGATAATCTCATCAAATTACTTTTGTGTATCACTCTGTGGTTTATTTAGAATAGTACAGAGCTTAGTCAAGAATTATAGTCCATCATGCAGGAATCTAACAGAGATTATAAAAAAGGACATTCTTTGGTGATAATTATGAAATTTTACAACTATAAATCAAAATCATTGAGACCAAAACTAGTAGACCTTGTATTTTCTGTTGTTGTTGTTAGCCCAACTAGTGAATTAGGATTTTAGAATTCTAATACTGGATTCCAGACTCCTCCCAAATTAACTTGGATAAATTACTTTTATGATAATAATAGGTAAGAAGACTATATACTACCTTATTTAATAAATTAAAAAAGTTTCAGATTTAAGTTATATTTTTAATGTCTTTGAAATTGAAATTACATATCCCATGTACACCTGAAAAGAGAGACGTTTTTCTTGGAGGTGAAAACATGAGTCATCATTTATGATTGTTTCTCTGTGCAGTTGCTAATCTAAATAATGATATAGCATATTGTTTTGATCAGTTTCCTACATTTCAAATTACAATTAAATATATCATGTAGTGATTTTTATCAAATCTGAAATGGCTGGCTAAACTGACTTAATTTACCAAGATTATTTATTCACTTACAGACTTACCTAGTTATCTGCAGTCTTAGAAATATGCTCTCAGAGGCATCAAAGAAAAGATGTATAAAATAGACCATTTTATTCCTGCCTCATATAGTTCCTTGTACATACCCTCTAATTTTTTTTTCTGTGTGCCAGTTTTGGGTATGAAAACCTCCTCTTTGGAGGACCACTTGAAAATAACTACCCAAAGTTAAAATAGATATCTCTTTTGAACAATCATACTTTCAGAAAGTAGTCTATAAATGTTACCAAAGTAAAGTATAGGACGTGATATGTAAGAAGATATTCATTAACGAACTCATGCATTTGTAAATAGTTTAAAACAGCCTACATGTCTGACTAAACGGGAAGTGGTACATATCAACCTATAGTTTGGGAGACCTTTCTTCCTGTAATAACAGTGTATATAGGAATCCAGATCTGTCATTATTAATAGTGTATGTAGCATCATCTATGAACCCTGTTGAAACAGAGAAACAGAGAAAGACAGTAAGAAAGGGAGAAAAGAGAAATTTTCAGGAAAGATACACAAATTCTGCAGCAGTCATTGCCTCTCTTGAGTAGAATAGAGATTTATTTTTCACCACACACACACACACACACACACACACACACACACAGAGTGAGTGAGTGCTCAGTGGTATCTGATTCTTTTGCACCCCACAGACTGTAATCCGCCAGGCTCCTCTGTCCATGGGATTTCCCAGGCAACTGGAGTAGGTTGCCATTTTCTTCTCCAAGGGATCTTCCCAACACAGGGCTTGAATTTGTGTCTCCTGCATTGGCAGGAGGGTCCTTTACCACTCAGTTACCAGGGAAGCCACCTGGAAGAGTGTATATATAAGTATATATATACACATATATATATATATATTTACATGCACATTATATATAAACATTTCAATTTACATGCACATTCCCTATAAAAACACTATGTACTTGAGAAATGAGGATAATATTTGGAAGAAAGATAGGAAAGGTGATGAAGAAGATGATTTTACCATATTACATTCTGTCTTATAGTTCTCAAAACTATTTTATTTTTTTATGGTACACTATTACCTATGGAGGTACTGAATATCTTTCTAAAAATATGAGTATAAACTAGTTAGTTAAAATGATTTCTCTCCATAGCGCTTATATGTGCCACTCAATTCTAGCTGCCAATATTAATTAATAGAAGCTAGCTTCCCTTTATCTTCACTATACAGGGTCATACTGTGTACTGGCAATATTAGCTTTATTTGATATGATGGGTGAAGGGGATGATCAAAATGATTCTCTAGAGAGAATAAGTGAATATACTTGAAACTGTCAGCAGCAGATCTTCACTGCTATCTGCAGGAAGACGAGTGAGTGTGTAATTGTGACATATTTTAAATATACAAACTAATATCAGGCCCTGTTAGAACAAAGTCTGCTGCCATCTGGCTTAGACTCACTTGCATTGAAATATGCACATTCCTGTGGACGAGAGGCAGTTTCATTATAGAGCCGGATAAGCCTTTAACTGTATCTTCCTCCTGGAGCTATGATTTGTCTCTTGGAATCATCAGTTCTTGGCTCTCAAATATCTCTAGTCATTTCTAGGAAACAAGTCCAAACAAGCATTTTGTTATGCCTATATTTTCTGTATCCTTTCTGGTTTTGCGGAGAAAAACAATCATTCTAAAACATAGTGTCCTCACAATGTTTAAAAAATGACTCCTGCTTGCGTGAGAATGTCTACATTGACCCTAGTTTATTCAACTGTTATCAGCTGGAATCCTTCATTCAACAGGAGACTCCCATAATCATTTTATCCCTTCAAAATAAATTCACCTTTTCCTCTAACTCCAACCCTTGGCTGTGTGCTGCCTTTTTAAGCAACTGGAGTTTCCCTTCTATCTATTGTACTTGAAAATTCACTGTAAATACTTTCTTCATCAAAACAGTCTTCCCTGCCTCCTCTAACCAACATTAAAGATTTAATTATCGAAACATTATCTTACATTATCTAGTACAGTGTTCTAGTCACTGCATAAAGTTTTCTTTTAATTTGGACTAGACTATCATGTTTTACTGAGAACAGAATTTTTTTGTGCTTATTACCTCGTTAGCAGTGAGAAAAATGAGCTCCCAATAATTATTTGTATACACGTGCGTGTGTGCCTAGCCTCTCAGTCATGTCTGACTCTGCGACCCTATGGACTGCAGCCCACCAGGCTCCTGTAGCCATGGGATTCTTCAGGCAAGAGCACTGGAGTGGGCTGCTATTTCCTCTTCCAGGGGATCTTCCAGACCCAGGGACTGAACCTGGGTCTCCTGAGTCTC